AAGAAGAATTTTATTGAATTAATTTCAAGATTTACAAAAAGCAAGAACAGAAACTGTTTACAAGCAAAAACAGTAACTGTTTTATCAAAACTGTAAATTGTTCCAAGAACAATTAAAAATTCCTGTACATTAACTGCATAATGTCCTCCTATCTCAACTCCTGTCTTTAAACTGATGCTGCACAGAATACAGCATCCAGCCCCCAAAGCACCCTGGACTGCACCTGAGTCAAAATCAAACAACTAGGAATGACAGATCACCACATTCAGCTCACATCCCCAGTGCATGCATCAGAACATCAAAGCAGAGTCCAGCTTTCCTCAACAAATTACATCAACCTACACAGACTGCATTGCACAACATGATAGCTTCACAGCACCACTCAATATCTGCAAAAAAGATAAGTTGGCTTTAATCCTTCAAGAGGATCAAACCAATTTTACTACATTACTGGATCAGCCGCTGACTAATAGCATAGCACTCTGCCAGACTAACAGCAAGCCACTGCCACAGATTAGCCAACCACAACAGACAATTCAGCTTCAAGTGAAGATAGGTAAATCATAAATGTTTTATTTTTACTTCAATTGCTACATATTATACTGTTTGATTTACAATTTCAAGCAATGCACACCTTTTATGTTTTGGCTAGTATTCCACTTGTAATAAAGCTTCATTATGGTGATGTTGTTGTACTACTGATGTTGCTCAGTTCGAGTTTGACATAGTTTCTGCACTCTTGCAAAATACGCATATTTGAAGCAGAGCCGCTCCGGCCCAGTAAGTAGATATTTGGAGCCAAGTTTGGCTTGCAAATATCTACAAGATTACATCTCTTTTGTCCTGTTTATATGAGTGAAATTCATATGAAGCTTCTTGGGTATGTAGAGCAAAAATTTTCCATTGGTGAGTCATGGTGACTGTAGTTGCTTCCCTCAATGGCACATCATCTATACTGCCAAGTCTGGAGCAAACAAGCTCAGATCTCTCCCACAAAGGTATTTTTATCAATTGGGTCTCTCTCTAAAATCTTCACTTTGTTAATTTAGGCATTGGGTGAGTGGTTTATTGCATCTTGTTTAATTTTTTTTTTTGACTGTGTTTGTTGAAGAACTGGTTTGTGACTTCTATCCTGTCGTCAATTTTATTGACTTAGTTTTATTTTCAATCACTCCAGCTGTACATATTTAGGAAGGTGTGTTAGTGGATGATGTTGTTTTGTTACCTTAATTTTAATGGGTTTTGGCTCTAATCTTTTCCCCCTTGTACCCTGCATTTAGATTGAGAGTTAAGTTGGTTTATATTTTATTTGTGTGTATTTTTTATGATGAGATTGTGTTTTTTTCGATACTTGGATCAGATCACAGATGATGAACCCATTGCAATCTAAGAGAATGTTTGTAATTTGAAGAAGTAGGAAGCTGATTGGATCTTGAAAATTGGTGTTATAGAAGAAGGAGACAGACTGAAGGTAAGAATGAAGTTTTTAACTTCGGATTCTGGGGTGTTTGAAATTAGTGTACTTCCTAGGTTTTTTCCTGTTATTGATTGGTTCTTGGTGGACCATTTGTGAAATACTGTGTACAAAAGTATTGAGTCGGGTGTTGATAATACACTGATGGAATCTTAGATAAGCTTACAGTGTTTAAACCAGAAAAAAAGGATTGTGTTCCTTCAGAAGGTGCTGTTGTATATGTTGCAACTCTGATGCTCAATTTACTGAATAGTGATCGTGTTCCATTCAGAAAGTGTTGTTGCATGTGTTGCAACTCTGATGATTAATTTACTGATTTGGAGTAGCTTCTGTTATTTAATGCTCTCTGTTTCTGACCATTGGTTTTACTCGTCTTTGTATTGTTGAACAAGACTCTGGAGGACAATGCAATTTGGAATGCAAATCCATTGACTGGCTTGTCAAGAGGTGAGATCTTCGTGATCTTATTGTTTTCTTGGTGCAAAAACGATATTTACTTTGCATATATTTATCAAGATGATCTAAAGTTATTTGAGCTTATCAGATGGCTAGAATCTGAAACTGAAATAGCATATACTTCTTTTAGATGCTTTTCATGAGATAGTTTCTACTTACTATATGGCTTCTCTCTACTCTTGAGATGGATAGGTTTTTACATTCCTATGAAAGGTTGCAAGCAAACTTAGTTTGGATGCAATTTATTGAAAAAAATGCTAGTGTCTGGCTATATCTGATCCAGATTGCATGATCTGAACTGCAACACTCTTCTCTTCAATGTACAATTTGGCAACATAAATTTTTTATTCCCCATATTCTATGGATAACAAAATGCGAAGTATTATTAACTGGAATTTCCTGAAATTATAATTCTCTTTTAGAGATTACAATTTGATAGCACTTGCATATATCCTAAAGGAAATATATGTTAGCTGAATGTAGAGCAATGCTTGATGGTTTACAGTTGATTAGGCAATCTAGTATGGAGAATTCTAATTTTTTGCTTGAATCTGATTCTAAAGTTTTAGTACAGATGATTTTGGGCCAATCAGAGGTTCCTTGGAGAGTTAAAAGAATTTTGGAGCAAATTTGGGAGATACTTGGTGGTTTGTAGTTTCAGTTGAGACATGTGTACAAAGAGGCAAATGGCATAACTGATTTTCTAGCTTCTTTTGCTGTAAAATCTGGCAACAGTTTAGTTTTTTCTGAGAGTAGTTTGTTGCTTATTTCTAGAAGAATTCTTCTGCAAAAAGATCAAAGCATGGTACCTACTGCTAGACTGAAGCAGGTGCTTGTCTGCAATCAGAAGCAGGGTGTTGGATGATGAGATTATTCATTTTCAGATTCTGTTTGGGGTAGATAAGGGAGTTGGAGGTTCCCCATGAGCTGATTTATTGACTTTAATTCCATTGAAGGATTAAAGCCAACTGGTGGTGAGTGATTTTTGAGGTTGGGTTTTGTTTGTGGTCTGACTGCACTGGTCTGCAGTGTTTTATGCAGAAGTTGTGCTGAATGTTTGCTCATGCTGTATTCTTAGCTGCACTGTTGTTCTGGTTAGCAGACAGAACTGGATGGTGGAGGATCAGTTTTGTTGTCATGTTGCAAGGTTGCTTTCTGCTGATGCTATAGCAAAAGATGTGAAGCTAAGAGGTGAATACAGTTACTGTCCAGAGGCTATTTTTTGTCTGCTTTGGGAACAAAATTTTCCTGTTTGTACAGTACACTGTTTGCTTTGTTAAAACAGTTACTGTTTTTGCTGCTTCTTGTAATTTTGATATTTTCATTAATAAATTTCTCTCTTTTTCTAAAATATATATATATATATATCCTAAAGAAAAACATTGATGGATTTTGGTGTAGTATATAACTGAGTATATGCAAATGAGTCCATCCTCATTGTGTATAATAGCGCAATAACATCCAGCTCTTTTTATTGAAGTAGAGAGGTATCCCTGTGGTTTACATTTGAAGGCTGCTCTCAATTCTATTCTTCGAATCATATTGCGAATTTCTAGCATGCAAGAATTCATAGTTGCTGACTATGTTTTCAAGAGCTTGGGTGAGGTTGGTATCACTCATCTGATATATCAGCAAGTTGTTCGATTTTGTTGGGATTTCCATAGATGGTCTACACTCTAACACACGGTTGAATTTCTCCCACACAAGCAATTGCTTGCTACCAAAAAAGTTAAGTATTGATTACTTACTCTTTGCGTTTTGCTTTTGCTATTGTCTTCAAATCACACTTACTTGATCCACCTCATTTGAAGCAGAAAAATTCTGATGGTCAAACAATGTTAGCATCCACATTAATCCCTCAGCCGCAGTCAATGACACATGCTCCACTTGAGGAAGATGTGAAGATGTCATTTGGAAGGTTTGTTTGTTCTCCTTGCATTTTAATGCGGTATTTCACGTAGTAGAGTTAGGGAATATTGGGCTTTTGTGATGTATTAACTTCTTGGTTGAACTTTGATTTGTAAAAAAAGCTTGGATTTTCTGCTACTCATAATTAAATCTTCTAGTAATCTATTCTCTTGGCAGCATGCTATTGTGTGGTCTTACCTTGAGTGAAAATGATGGTGATCTTGAGGTAATGTGTTACATTTACATATTACATTTTAGCATTTAGACAAGTGGAGACACATGAGTTTTTTTTTCCATTGGGAATGAGGATGCTGCCCTGTCTAACTGGACTCCATCCTGAGTCCCGTCTTGGGACAGTTGGTGTTCTATTAGTTTCATGGCTTCTTGTCTCAGTTTTGAGTGTCTTAAGCCCTCAATCACCATTGGATATTCTCAGTAATACATTTGTAGGCTCATAACTTTTTTTCTGTGTGAGAATTATATAGCTAAATTTTTTGAATTGCAGACTTGTTGTAGAGTTGCCAATGTTCTTTCTCATGTACTCAAGGATAATATCCAGTGCAAGGAAAGGGTATGAATCTCAAATCCTCTTTTCTATGCTTCCTACTTAGTCTACTAATAGGATCAGGTATGTTTTGATCACTCTTGTTCTTGAAAATAATGCTCAGCATTTCGGTTTGCTAGGTTTGAGGCTTTAGATTTATCCTGCCTCTTTTGTTTTAGTGTGTAACATAGAACTTTTTTTTTTTTTAAATAAAAAAAATACTATATTACAGTAATAAAGGGAAACACATCATTTCTTAGTTATCCCAACAACCAGATAAAGGGGATCGCAGTAACTGCACAAAATTGTTGACAATTTAAGTAAGAGGAGGTTGTATAATGGATTATGTTGCTCCAACTTTCTGAACTTTATTTGGGTGGCGACTTGCAGGATCATTATCTCTAGAGAGTGAGTGTTTCCCCTTAAATTGCTTCCTACCTCTATTATGTTTTCCTCCCCACCCCGGTTTCCCTTGTTGTCCCAGTGTTTTTCCTGATTAGAATGGAACAGACTCCAGTACTCTCTCTCAGCCTCACCAGTGACAGGATCTAAAGTTGCAATGAAATTTTTCACAACCAGACCACCTTCCTTAGCAAGAACAGCAGCAACACGTGCTTTCTAAGGTCCTCCTGCATCTTCAAACCATATATACCAAGACTCTGATCCAAACTTGAAATCAATATACTTAACAGTGCCAAACTTTTGAAAGACACTCTTCGGATCTTCGTGTAAAACAATGTCTTCATTGTCCGTATATGACGCAGTGGCTGGTTTTTCTTCACCTGCTGCATGATCGTACTTTTGAATGGGACTGTCAAAAGATTTCTCTTGATCCTCGGTTTCCTTCCCTTCAGTCTCCAAACTACATTTCTCATCACCTTTTTCCTCACTGTCCTCAGTATTCTTAGCACGGTTTTCTTCATCATCTTTAACATCTTTTGATACATTTTGCTCAGTTTCTTGGGTAACATTTGCGGTGGAATCTGGTTCGCCATCTAATTTACGACCATCTACGTCATCACAATCATGAATTTTCTGCAGAACCTTCAGCTGAGATCCTCTTCAACTTAAATGCAACAATTAAGCCTTTGGGATAATTTGCTTCTGCATTGGAATTGTTTTTACGATTCGAAGCTACCGGGGACCGAGAATTCTCAACTTCTTTGGTTTGCTTTGATCTTTCTGCATCAAATTCCTTCTTTGGTTTCACCTCTAATCTGACACCTGTATAATCCAAGCTCTGCTTCAAAATATTTGCAGCATCTTCCTCAGTAGAGAACTCAACCAGAGCAGTGCCACAGAATAACCTTTTGTCTGCAACATGATGAGGCAGCCTCACACTATTAACCTTCCCAAACTGACAAAAGAGAGACTCTACATCTTTAAGCTTCACATCATACTCCAGTGGCGAAACAACTATTGTTTTCACCTCTAATTGCTCTCTTACCTCCTCTGGATTTAAAAGTTCTGTAGCCCTACCAACCTTCTTCCCATCTTCAGAAACTTTCAGGAATGAAGATGTCCTTAAAGTTTCAGCCACAACTTTCACTCTATCTTCTGCAACATCTTCTGACTTCACTTCCCCCAAACCAAGATGGTTTCTCATCCGAGAGAATGAACATATCAAAGCCAAACTAACCATGCCATCTTGACTCTCACTAAGGGTGTTGCTGAGAAACTTATCCCTAGGAAGATTACTATCACTGAAGTAGAACTCGACCTGTCGAATGACTTTCTTGGCTGTTTCTTCGTCCAACGACGGAGTCACCATTGTTGCGCTGCCTTTCAGAGCTCGAAGTTAGAGAGAAGACTAGTACAGAGGGTTTATAGGACTAAACAGAGTACAGTTTAGGGTTTTGAGGAGGGCTTTTAAAGGCATAAATTCGGAATGGAAAGACAGAGACAGACAACGGACGACCGATGTAACATAGAACTTGCTGCAGATTCTATAAATTGAACTTGAAGCACCTATGCAGTTTTGTTTATCCTGCCTCAGTATTGTTTCTCATTTACTGATTGGATATAAAAACAGATATATTTGAAGTTTGGGAGGACAGTGTCCTGAATTGATATAGTGTTTGTTGCTCTAGAGGAGAAAAAAAAAACTCTTTTGGGAAATTAGTTTCACCGCTGATGGCACCATGAGATACAATTGAGGTTCAATTGTACCTATAAGGATGCTTGCTTTGAGAAGACTGAGATAATAACTGTGGAAAGACTGAGATAATAACTCCTGCATTCCCAAATGCATCATTGGTGTTTGGACCAACTTGCAAGTTTGCAACCTATGTGTAGCCAAAAAATCATGTGTTAGTTGTAGTCTCTAGCTTATGGTAAAGAGGGAGATGATGTTGATGATTGTTGCTCTCAGTTATTTATTCTGACAAAGAGAATTCCCTGTATGCAACATTTCAGTTAGTGTTGCAGCATTTTCTTGTGAAAAATGAAAATGGATCATTTCCAAATGCGAAACTTATTCTTAAGCATCTCATAATCCAGGAGCTATACTTATCTGTTGCAGAACCATGATAAATTACTATGCTTAGTAGCTGAATCATATGCTCCCATTTACTACCACTTTATGGTTTTTTGAAGCTCCTGCTTTTAGGAACATCAGATCTAACATATCTATATATGGACCTAAGATGATAGGGGTTTACTTGATATTCTGCTAGATCAGTTAAATTTGCTTCATTTTTTCAAGTTTTTGGCTTCTTTTTGAATCCGTAAATTTGTTTGGTATGATGTTTTGTGTCTCATAACTTCTGAGAAACCCATGTTTAAACGATTCTTGTTCTGCTGTGCCATTGACAAGTTGATGTCATGATGTTCAGGATTGCTATGTGTGCATCATTATAGGATATATATTGTGACGGAGTGGACATGTAAGTTCTGTTTCTTTGTTAAACGAGTTATTTTAAATGTGTTCTTGAAGGAATATAGACTATATATTAGACCCAGTGTTGAAATATTCTATTTTCTGTCTATTGGAGTGACCTTTGCATGTTGTCACCGTTTTTCATGTAGGGCAGAAGCTATTAAAAGAGCAAATTGTGTTCATTTTCCTAAAGAGGTTGTTAGCTGGCAGTGAAGATTATGCTCTCCTTCCAATTCTTGTTCTGCATATTTCCATGTTGATTGGAGCTGATGTTCCCATGGTGGAGTCCAGGCATAATGCGGCCATGATACTTTTTAAAATTTGATTGATAATTTATTACTGTATTTTTTTCTTTTTTGTAACAGATGAATTCTGGACTTACATTAAAGTGACTTACGACTTATTTTTTGGTTATGTATTAAACTATTTTGGGAAATTTGTATTAGATTATGTTGTTGGATATTTTGATGATTTGTATAACTTTAATTAAGTGTATTATATTTTATGTTTTTGTTAGTATGATATTTGATGTTAGTTTGTGTTCGTTGTTGAATAAAAAAGATGTGAAAAATATTAATTGTATTAGTTTTTCATTAAACACAGATATTATTGGTATACAGGTGAAAATTTTTATTGAAATATCATTTTTTATATAATATTTTTAAAAAATTAATTTTTTTGCCACGAAATTCAAATCGTCGCGAAAAATTTTAGGAACAAATTTTTTGCGACAATTTTTATACATTGCAAATGTATTTATTCAATTATTTTTTATATTTTTATTTATGTACAAAATTATTTGCGACGATTTTTTAATGTCGCGAAAAATTAATTAAATTATTATTTTTCACATTTTTTATTTATGAAAATATTATTTGTGACGATTTTTTAACGTCACTAAAATTAATTAAATTATTATTTTTTACATTTTTTTATTTATGTAAAAAATTATTTGCGACAATTTTTTTACGTCGCAAAAAATTAATTAAATTATTATTTTTTACATTTTTATTTATGAAAAAATTATTTGTGACGATTTTTTTACAACGCTAAAAAGTAATTAAATTATTATTTTTTACATTTTTCTATTTATGTAAAAACTTATTTTGCGACAAACTTTTTACATCGCTAAAAATTAATTATATTATTATTTTTTACAATTTTTATTTATGAAAAATTTATTTGTGATGAATTTTTTATGTCGCAAAAAATTAATTACATTTTTATTTTAAAAAAATTATTTGCAATGATTTTTGTACGTCACGAAAAATTAATTAATTTATGATTTAATATTTTTTTACACTGATGGAGTAGATTTTAGAGACGTTTTTTATTCGTCACAATTTTTTTTTTTTGCAACGAAAATAAATTTGCGACGAACACGTGACGAAAAACAATGTTGCAATAAATAATTGGCGACTTTTTTTTTTTTAAATTTAGCGACGAAAAAAATCGTCCCAAAAAATGATTTTTGTTGTTGTGGCATTCAGTTTGAGTTGGAATTTTTGACTGACCAGCATAACTGGAAAAAATTTCGAGAGGCCAAAACCTATGCTTTTAGGACTTTTTTGAACTTTTAACAGCTTCAATCACAACCAAAGGCTGTGGGCTTTGTAGGGCTCGTCGAGAGTTTCAATTTGATATATTATAAACTCCATTTGGAGTAACGGAGCAAACGTTACGATCAAAATTTTGAGCAGATAGCTGGGCGAGCAGGCACTGATCTGGGCAAGCAATAGCTGAATTTTTTTATTTTTTTTAAACTTCGGGAGGCCAAAACATTTGTTTCTGGGCCTTTTTTGGACTTTTTATAGCATTATTCATAGCCAAAGGCTATAAGTCTTATAGGGCTCGCCGAGAGTTTCGATTTGATATATTATGAGCTCCATTTGAAATAACGGAGCAAAAGTTACGGTCAAAATTTCAAGCAGGCAGTTGGGCGCGCGTTTTAGGCGAGCAGGTAGTATTCTGAGAGAGCCTAGGGCTGCCTTGGGCGATCTAGGGATGCCTTGGGTGCTTTGGGCGAGCCTGGGGTTACCTTGGGAGAGCCTGGGGGCTACCTTGCACGAGTTTGGTTCTGGAGTCAAAAGGCAGAGCACGCTGAATACTTTTGGTGGTGATGATCCGACTTTTTCGAGTATAATTTCTCAAAATCAAATTCCTCAAGACCTCCCTAGTAGTGGCTTGGACAAAGTTTCACATCCTTGCCTAAACAGCATCGAGGCAAGGTAGCTCTCGATGATGATGAGTCCAAAGTAAGTACTATCTCCAGCAATTTAAATACGAACACCGATATTTTGTGGATTGTCTCTGCCTACCATATTCCTCCGACTGTGCTATGCCGTCTAGCTGAGATGGACACAAAAGGATGAGGCTCGATTGTTGACATTCAATTTTAATGTAGTCCATCGGGTTGCAGACGACTTGAGTTTTAAGAGCCTTACTAGAGATGACAAAAACAATGTTATTTCAAACATTAAAATATCTAACATAATTACCTGGAGAGAGAGAAGAAGGCTGCTTACGCAAGAGCAAAGACAGTGTTTGAGGACTGCTCGTGAGAGAGCTACACCTTTTGAGACCGAGCTTTTGGCGACCTATGAGAGAGTCTTTAAGCTTAAGGTATAGGCTGTCTGTTTGAGAACAGTGCAGAGACCAAGCTTTTTTGGCGACCCGCGAGAAAGTCACTAAGCTGTAGATAGGCTGTATGTTTTGTTGGGATTTAACTGGATTTAAATCCACTAACAAACACACACAATCGAAGAACAAATCAAGAATATAAAGCAATAAGAAACAAGAAAGAACAAGACACAGATTTTACGTGGTTCGACAATTTGCCTACGTCCACGAAGCTGTAGGGATTTCACTATTGAGAGAGTTGAATTACAGAGAGCGGCAATTTGCCTACGTCCACGAAGCTGCAGGGATTTCGGCCCAAGTTTTCGCTCCATGGACTAAGCCTCAGAAAATTTTCCATTAAAAACCACACAACATTATTTCGGGTCGGGTCATCATCCGGATCACATATACAAACTAGACTCCATCAACATGTTTAAGAACAGTGCAAAAGCAGGTCAAGCTTTTGGTGATCTGCGAGATGATTCACCTCGTCTAAACCTGTTAATTTTCTCAACATTCATATATTTTTGAGCTTTTGCCAATAGTTCTGGCATATTCTTTGGTGGTTGCTTCATTACTAAAAAGAGGAAACTCAAAGAGCAGAGGCCTCTCAGGAAGGCGGTCATGGTGACTTTGTCATTGGACTCCTCAATTTGGAGGACCTCCTCGTTAAAACAAGTGAGGTAACTCATTAAACTCTCTTCTCGATTATGTTTTATGCTAAGCAAATGGGTGATAGGCTTCTACTGGTGGCGTTCACTAGTGAACTGTGTCACAAAGGATCTACTCAATTCAGCGAAAGAGTCTATGGAGGCCGGGGTGAGTTTGACGAACCATTGTTACGCTAATCCCTTCAAGGTAGTTGGAAATGCCCTACACATAATTTCGTCGGGGACGCTGTGTAGCTGCATTAAGGTCTTGTAGGTTTCGAGGTGATCAAACGGGTCCTTCGTACTGTCAAAAGTTTCGACGGATGTCATTTTGAACTTTTGGGGAAGCGGGTAATTCGTTACATCAAGTATGAAGGGTGTGTCGGTTCGCCTAACAAGGTAGTCCACTGTCTCGGGTTCTTGTGCCTTCATAGTGTTGAAGATGTCACCCAATGAATTTTGCACCTCTTTTATTTTTTTGTCTCAGTAGTTGGGAGCTCCTTTGGAATTATTTTAGAAATGACTTTCATGCTCCATGATCTGGTTCTCACCCTCGTCCTCTTGGAAAAGAGGGTCTACACCATGAGAAGGGGGAGCTAAAGGAGGAGGTGGAGGTCCCTCGCG